TCTTATCCACACAGGCTCCAGGGTTTCTCCACACCTTCTGTGTCTCCTCACACGTCACTCCATATGTCAGTCACCAGTGGGCCCTCCCTCGTGGCACAATGGGTAAAGTGTAGCACTACGAAGCTAGCCACAGGCACTGCAGCATGAGTTCAAATCCCAGCCAGGGAGCTGACCCACACGGTGTGGCAGACCTCTCCTTTCTCACCCGCTGCTCCCCTGAGCAGTGCACTTCAGCGGATCTGTTTGTTCTGTTCCTCTGGACTTTGAAAAGCATACAAAGAATCCTGGTGAATGTTACCTACAGGGCTAGAGCTATAAGGCAGGGAGGTGGGGAGGCTGGTGATTGATATATAGACTTTTTTTTAAAGATTTATTCATGTATGCATAGACGAACTGGGGTACAGGTCAGAGGGTGGGGGGCAGCATTCGGCAGCCTCCCTTCCCCACCCTACCCTGAACCACAACATGTGTAATGGCACAGTGTCACCTCACAACACCTGCTCCTCTCTCCCCCGCCAGCCCTGAGGCTCCAGGAGCGGATCCCACCCAAACACGCGCTCACCCAGGTCCCACACGGCTGTCCCTCCCCTAGACACTCCCTTCCCGTGACAGACAACGTGCCTACAGCCAGCACTGCTGCGTGGCGTGGAGAGAAGCTGTGAAATGACCGCTCCAGGGGTTGTTTCCACAATGAGAAAGCTTCCTCCTTTGCTTCTTGTCTCTTCCTATTATAGATATGGACGGTGGGTGCTATTTAACCTATTGGGACGGTCATGTCACTGTCCGTGTAAATCTGTCATTCTGCTGTGAGCCTCAGACGGACCATGATGTACATAAAGCTGGGGAGAAGGGGGCGCCCACACGTCAGTGCCTGCCCAGCTGTGTTCTGTCTCACCGGAGTCTCTGTTCCAGGGTTACCAGGTGTTCATCACTGTAACCTGCCTCAGCCCCAGCCCCGCATTCCTGACCTGTTTCCCTGCTCCATTCAGTATCTTGTCTCATCACTTCTCACTCCTAACTTCATTCCCACCTTGGTTATTAATTACGATTTCTCTATCTCCCAAATACAGACTCAGAGAGTCAAGAACTATATAATATTTCTGATGTATCCAAGAGTGTAGAGCAGGACCAGAAATGTACTAGGTTCCCTGTATATTACATTTAATGAAACATGAATTAATAATCCTTTCTTTCTCATAAATAAAATGAAAAGCTAAATACGATGCCCTTATTTTTTCCCAATTCCAAAGCTCTAGGACTCTGAGATGTTTAACGTGTCACCCACCTGCTACCTGCAGCTCCATGGTGGCTTCCTCATGGACGTCTCCGTCTCTGAAGCTGCAGGTGTACAGCCCGTTGTCGGCAGCCTGGACCTTGTGGATGCGCACAGCAGCTTTCCCCTCACTGAGGGATTCCCCCAGCAGCGAGGTCCGCCCTGCATACTGGGCCATCTGCTCCTCATGTCGCTCCTGTCGGTCTTGATAGGTGAACACTGACTCCCAGATATGGGACCGGAACCACCTCACCTCCATGTCCTCTGCACTCATGGCTGGGTCCAGGGAGCAGGACAGTGTGGCGTCCTCCCCCAGTTCTGCCACAATGGGATAAGGGGGGGCAATCACCAAGAACGGATCTGTGGACACAGACAGGAGTTAGGGAGGTCACGGTGCTCACACCCGGAGCAAGGAGCACATCGCCTGGGTGAGGAAAGTCCAGGGCAGTGTTGTATGAGAGGACAGCTGGCCTGGGGCACTGAGCAGTGACAGCTGTGATCCCCGCAACCACCAACCAGCAAAAACTCCAGAAATGAAAATTCTCCCTCATTCACTGGTGCATCTGACAGCAGAACCTTCCAGACACTCTAACTCCATGGTTCTCTCCTTCAGGATCAGTCACCAGGAGGCCTTGTCATGTAAAATGTGGGGATCCTACTCCAGGTCTGATAAGCAGGTTGAGATGCACCCAAGAACATGCATTTGAGAGAAGTTCCTGGGCGACTTACATGTTTTATACACAAAACTCCTAACGTCGTTGCCCAGAGGACCACCACTGTTAGTGAGTGGAGCAGGGCGCCCAGGGAATACCAGGCTGGCAGCGAATATGAGCTTGGTCTCTGACACAGTCACCAGGCTGACAGCTCCCACAGGGACACAGAGGAGGTCACAATTCACCGAACAAGTGTTAGGCAGAGAGACAGGGATGACACTGTCAGCTTGGGGAGGCCATGTCAGGGTGGGGGAGGCCGTGTCAGGTTGGGGAGGCTGTGTCAGGATTGGGGAGGCCGTGTCAGGGTGGGGGAGGCCATGTCAGGCTGGGGGAGGCCATGTCAGGATTGGGAATGCTGTGTCAGGGTAGGGGAGGCCATTTCAGGTTGGGGGCAACCATGTCAGGATTGGGAATGCTGTGTCAGGGTAGGGGAGGCGTGTCAGGGTGTGGGAGGATCAGCACACCCTGTGGTGGGCCCCTCTAGAGGCACGTGACTCTGGGCAGGGGGAGCTGACAGTGGGGAGCACACACCTCTGACTGGTCACAGCTAACTGGTCCCCAGTGAAGAAATAGGCACACAGCAGGGTTCCCCCCACAGACACCCTCAGGCCTGCCCTGCCCTCCTGAGCTCAGGGCCATGTGCACTTGACACTCACAGCGGGACTGCGAGAGGCGGTGTCAGGGCCACACACAAGCTCACACCCCAGCCAGGGTGCCCGCACCGGAGGCCAGATGCCTGCAGCACCCAGTCTCTACTCAGCGTCTCAATATCAGGGTGCTAGACCCACATGGGTCACAGATCTAAACACAGGAAGCTAAGGGTCACGTGATGGCAAGTTATAAGGAAGTTCAACTCTATGAGTTACCACTACAGATGCTTATTTTCAAAAACAGAAAGTTGAAAGCAGCAAAATAAGCCCCAGAAACATGCTCTGAGGCAGCCGGAGACCTCAAGGGCACCTGACACCACAGGAGAGAACAGCTCTGCTCTACAAGGCC